TTAGGGACTGAGGAAGTGAAGAATCAATGAAACATTATGTGCAAGCTTCCGATAGTAAATACCCTAAAGGATCTATGGTAACCACTACCAGAAATTTGCAACGAAAACATGTAATAAATATTTGATAAAGAGGTCTTGGAAAAATCAGACGTATCAATATAGCAAATAAGTATTCTACACTACACCTCGGTCGTAAGCAAACAAAAAGGTAGGGGAAAGGAAGTTAACAAACCTCGATAGAGATAGGCGTCTTCACGAAGAGAAGAAATAACTGAGTCGCCGACGGCATCTCGCCAAAACTTTAAGGGTGTTAAATAAGAAAGTGGCTAGGTTAACCGCGATTCAATGACGGAAAAGTCGACCGAAGGACAAAGTGACTCACCTCATCAAAGTTCAAGTTGGACGCACTATTCCACGCCTGACTCAATGGCCGAAGTGAACTAGGACCTGGACATGCAAAAGAGGGAGAGTTATAGCTTAGTAGATGTTGCTCACAACAGCCAAAAACCCTAGACAAGTTGTGCCAAGATAGAGTGGAGCACCAGAAGTAAGGTTTTGTAGAAACGGTTGGACAACAATAGTAATAGCCGTAAGTACATAAAATTATTAAGCGTCACTAGACGGGTTACAGAATCCAAGAAAAAAGCGTGAAAAAATTTAGACATTGTTAACTGGGGAGAGAGAGAAGAGGAAGGCACGGTACTCACCATCCTCATAGACCCCCACACTTGCGAGCATAAGTTGGAGGAGGTTACGACTGCTGCTTAACCGAAGGGGTGTGGCTGGAGAAGAATGCACCACGGCGGAGAGAAAGAGCACCGAATTGAGCGACAAATCAACCTCATTTGGAAGGCCTGACATGAGGGACTTTTCAGCTGTCTCTAAGACAGAGACGTGACGCAACTCAAGGGAGTTGTCCGGATGTGGCCGAGAATGCAACTCCTCCAACTGTTGCGATGGTGGAAGCTGGTCGAAGGAGGAGGGAATCCGGGAATCCTGGTACATGATCAGTTTTTGTCCCATTAGACCCGAAAGTGACAACGCAGATAAGTCGAAAACACATACCTGGTTACAGCGGAGAGTTGGATAAAGATCTCTACTGGCAAAACCAAGATGCGTAGCCGAGCGATGCATCCCGTAATGAATGGGAGCTGGCTTTGGATTAAAAATTCCGAGTATCCTTTCTACAGACGGAGGAGTAAACACGTCACCAGGATTTTCGTGAAACTCATCCTGAATTTGAGACCACAAGCTGTCATTCTTGAGGTGGGGATAGGATTCATTTTCAAAGGCAACGAGATAGTGACAGTAGACCCGACGCAAAGCGACACTGTAATTTGCACAGGCCGATGGACATCCGATATCCTTTGAGACTGTCTCCCAGAGATCCTTTTCTGTGACTTTAGAGTAGCCACCATGTTTGACAACAGAGGTAAAAAGGGAGTATAGATTCAAAGGAGTACCACGAACAGTGGGTAGAGATGCATGGAATCGTCTAAATTTCACTTATGTGGAAATACGAACATACCTTTGACGTCGATTAAAATTCACGAAAAGATTATAAAAGGTGCGCTCATCTGGAATCGTTTCAAAACTTTTTACGTCTGGAGCACTAGATATGCGCCTAATGTGAGCAGAATACATTATTCGGTATCTAAAATAATGTAAACAAGATAAGTATTTGGGATAAACGAGCCTGGCGCTTGAGGAAACAGTTGTTTGGGAAAGAAAAAGAGCTTTTCGAAATTAAAAATTAGTAGCTAACAGAAATTTTCAAACGAAATTAACTGTCTACTCACCAAAGTTGAGGTACTGGCATTTATACAATAGCAACCATGAAAATTCCAGGAAATCCGAATTTGCCGGTTTTATCAAAGTGTTAGCCAAGTGAAACAATGCACGGATGATAAATAATGAAGAGGTTTTAAAAATTTTCCCGTATCTATAGAAGTTTAACTGTTTTAAAACAAATAAATTTTGTGTTATTTTTTTCAATAATACACTTTTTGGGAGCGCAGCTACCCCATCGGAATGGCTTTTCCTTTAGGAAAATGAAGTCAAAGGAGTCGACTTAATTTCCACTCTGCGCGTCTTTGTGCTAAAGACTTTTTTGTTGGAATGTGTAAAATGATTAAGGCCGCTAAAATACTAAATCTTACTATTTTAGCCTCACTAACTCATGCAGATGGTTTGCACCGTGCTGTGGCGTCCCGAGCTTTCCTTGAAGACGCAAGAAGACACAATACTCTTGCAGAATATATATTCAGCACAGAGAAGGTGTCTGAGCTATTGGCGTGGCCCAAAAAACCAGCCTACCCAGCGAGGTACAAGAGGGCTGATTCAAAAGTGCAAAAGCGGACCTCCACCAATACCGAGGGATAAACTACCATCGCATTACGGTGAACACTCCAGATAGATGTTAGGAATTGGCATCACTCTCACGCTTTATACAAAACTATTGAAATATAAAGAGAACGCTACGTTTTATCGATTTAAAAAATTTTATAACTGTGTTTCTTACTGTGTTTTAATGAAGGTGTTATGTAGCGGCTCACGTATTTCCCGAATTCCTCTGAAGTCATAGTATTACAGAAGGAAAATATTAGGAGTATACAGAAGGGTCGAGTGGTTACTAGTATGGATCAAAGGTGATGCTGTGAAGCAAAATTTTCGGCAGCTGCGCAACCATACTCAGAGTTAAACGAACTATGTAGCGTCCCGAGACTCCCTGAAGACGAAAGAAGACAAAATACTCGGGCAGAATATATATGTTCAGCACGGAGAAGGTGTCTGGGCTATTGGCATGGCCCAAAAGGCCAGCCCACCCAGCGAGGTACAAGGGGGCTAATTCGAAGTACAAAAGTGGCGCCTCACCAGAACCGAGGGATAAACCACTATCGTATTACAACTATCATATTATTATATAGCTCCTCACTTCTTTTGAGCGTTGTCCCTCCTGGCCCTCATAGTCAACTTCATACGCTAACCATCACAGCGCAGTTGGTCTTTTAAAATATTATCTTTACGTTAGTCACCCCAATAATTGCATTTACGTTCCATTGGGACTTCATTGATTCCTAACGTCACCAATGCATCTCCACAAATCCATTGGATAAGAATCTGACGACAAACGAGACTAGAGGCAGAGCGATTTCTTTGTGAAACTACTTTAAACTTGGCCCTTTGATTATTAACGAAAGAAGTGCGAATCTGTGACAACCTTTAATAGATGACGCCTACCTTTGGCAACTGCCTTGGTACCGTTGCTTTGCAGGAAAACCATTGACAGCTGAAGGGACATTGGCCGTAAGCCATGCGAAAAAGTTCGTTACGGCGCTGTCTACCTCGCCTTTATGAAGTGGGCGCCGGATACCTCCTCCTTCTCTGACTGCCTGGACCTAACTCAGGTAGATATGGCTGGGCAGCACTGAAGTGGGCATAAAGTGGCAAGAAACAAAATGGCCGCGAAGCTCTACTCTCAAGGAACTATTTTTAGTTTCTTCTTCCCCAGTTGTCACTCCACAGGGCGTGGCTCTAGATCCAGTGGAATTGTCAAGAGGGATCAGTGACGTTGTGAACAAATGTCTTCGCAGTTACATGGAAATTTGGCGACTAGGATGGTTGGTTCGTGAATGTTTTCCCAACGTGAAAGGTTGACCGAGGACAGACCCGGGACCGACACTCAAAAGGATAGATGGAGTATGAAATACTTTTTTACTTGTCTAACTCTCCAGTTTGGTCACGCGGGCACTTAAGGCTCCACCATTAAACCTAAGCTTGGCGACAATGGCCCCTGTGCCACACCAATAGCCTCTCAGCCCTTCTAAAAGACTCAGGACGCTACATATCTCCGGCAAAAAAAGTGAGTAGTCTAAAACGTGAATTAGCAAGTATTTATTAGGTTTCGAAATTCTAAGAAGCATTGTAGTAATCACTTATAAATATTACCTAAAAGAGTAATCAGGGAAATATCTACATTCTACCCGTTTGAAGGCGACACCGCCAGGTGGGGGCGTTGGGAAACCCACTGAGGTCATGTTTGTTGCACCACAAATCTAGCGATGACTACTGGTTCTCAAACAAAACACTTCTTCCTCAATACCCACGGGGCTCTTGGAACTGAAAAACATCCACATCGATCATGCTTACGGGTTTCTTGGGGCAATCTGCCTCTTGTACACTTTTACTACGTTAAATTGTGTCAGTTGGTCAGTTCCAATCGCTAGCCTAATGTTACAAAAGAGTGGCAACTGTGCTGTGGGTTGGAGAGCACCACAACCTGGATCGTCACGGATGTAAGGACTTGCAGTCGTCCTTGAGGCGCTCACGCCATTGCCACTGCCTCAATGCTGAGCAGCCTATCACCATACGACTCTGATGGATGAAACGTCAACATCACTCACCACGAGTGCGTTATCACTGTCACCCAGATTCCTGACGGCGCTGACAACGGATTGGCCCGCTACGTATGTACCGACTATTAGAGAGAGTAATGTGGTAGTAAGTGGTGGTGAAAAAAAAGAATGCCCACTTTGTTTCCACAAAAGGATACAGGTGGCTCAGCTATTTCTTCTTCATTTTAATCCCACGCACGGACAAAGTGACCACGTTACAAAGAACAAGAAAAGGAGGCGATGAAATCAGCAATACTGAGGGGAATAGTCATTTTTACGCATCTAGCTGAGCCCAGTGGTGGACATGATCATAAGCCGACGCAACAGCAGTGCAATTAATGCTGTGGCTACAGCGACAGCCACCCACTTGACCCACTGCGTCTCTTGCGGGAGTAAGGAGGCCCCTGCTGTGACCATTCCACCGGCGGGAGTTCTCTCTAAACGCGTCTGCATCGCACAGACGCGTTGACGGTGTCGCTCTGCTGCATCCTGGAGGATTCGTTGTGCAGCCTCCTTGGCGGCCTCCTTAGAAGGGAGAGGGACCACCCGAGGTCCCTGAGTGACAGAGGAAGAGGCGTACTGTGGCAAAGGTTCACTAGGCATCGAACAAGTCCGCTCCACCGGCATTGGTGACTCGCAGTGCAGCGAGGCGGTAGGACCTGGTCGTTCAGGGCCCGGGGAGGGACGTCTGCTACCACCACCACTGTAACAGACAGCAACGCTACTTCCGAAACTTCCACTTTCAGCACCAGAAGGAGGTGCTCTGACAGCATCATCCAGAACTATGGTTGTCGGGGGGCTGCTGCTTGCCGGACGACAACCTGACGGCTCCTCTAACGTTTCCGCTTCCACCGCCTCCAACTTTTCACTCGGTTCCGGATCTGGTACCGTCTGCGGTACTGCCTCCGCTTCCTCAGTTTCAGCAGAGGACTCCGAAGCTGCAACTGCGTTAACTCGCACCTGATCGGTTGGTGAGTTAGGCGGTTTAGCCGAGGGTGACTTACATGTACTTGTAGGGGAAGATTCGGATCCAGTGCCGCCTGACGCAGACGGACATTCATGCACCTGCACAGATAGAACAAAAAGATGTGGGGCTGCATTCGCTTACTTTGACATGAAAACACCACCTAAAACGTTCATTACCACCACGATATACAAGTAACGCTCCGATAATTTGAAAGCTTCAAATAGTAGTGGTTAATTGGAACCGTGCTGCAAATAGACTGGTTAAAACAGCTGCAGATTAAAAAGACGCGTGCTGTTCCCAATCTGAGGTAAGCTATATTTCGTTCTGAGTTTAGCAGGATCAGGTGAATGGGTGGCGTGTTGGTGGCATTAGGTCGGTTAAAATCTTATCTGAAGTGAAGAACGCTGTCCTGAGATCCACAGCTAGAAAATGTGCTGCCAACCAGGCGCATTCCCCCCCGATGCAGTTTTCCCCAAGCAGGGATCCTAAACAAGCCCAATCCTGCAGCGGGTAGAAATATTACCCTATTTCAACAAGACGAGCGCCATGAATCCTACTTGTTGCAAACTGTTTTGCAAGTGGGAACAATTTAACCTAGCTTTAGCCGCCTCCGTCCTACGATAATTCCCAACAGACAATTTCTGTAGTACAAGGTGTTCTGTTGTC